CTGAATCTACACATTTATCTTCCTAAATTCACGTATGAATTTTTGTTCATAATTACGTATTGTATTTACACAAAGTTATTATTATTATTATTTTTTCCATAGTCAAAATGAATTTCCCCTACTATGCCTTTTTATTTACACGATTTATCATATTGATCAGAAACTGGACACCCTTATTATACTTTGAACCTTTCTAACCTGTATTAGATGACCTTTGCAATTTTCACCACTTATTTTTCACATCATTTTATTGATGTATGCCTTAATCTAGTCATTATGAACTAATGACTATAGAGCCTGATGATGAAATTAATGAAAAAAACAATTGTTCGTTAACATAGTCATTATTCCTGAATATTTTTATGTAAATTTACAAACTACTGAAATAAGTAACAAAATCATATATCGTTTTTGATATTATATGTGTTAGCAACTGTACAAACCATTTGAACTATAATTATTACCCAAATAGCTCAGTGTTAATTTCTCTGATTGACAAACTAGGTGATTGATATATGAGGCTGAATAACCTAATGAGTGTCAGTTCACCCAAGATTACAAGCATACATTTACCAATACAGTTGATTTCAAATAGCACGAAACCTAGATTCAGGATACGAAAAGCACCTAACTGCGTCACGAGACAAGCGCTCACATGGAACCCTCAAGGCAAAAGGAAAAGAGGAAGGCCAAAGAACACATTACGCCGAGAAATAGAGAAAGATATGAGAGGAATGAACAAACATTGGACAGAACTGGAGAGAGAAGCCCATGAGAGAGTTGGTTGGAGAAAACTGGTGGGCGGCCTATGCTCCATTGGGGGTAACAGGCGTAAGTAAGTAAGAACTAGATTCAGGAGTTTTACTGGTCAGCTTACTTTCAAACACACCTTACAAAGAAGCATAAAGAATGAATGTTTTTCGCCGTTGAAATTGATTCCAATTAATAATACTCATCAACAGTCTCAACTACAACTGACGGACTGTTTGTCTTACAGATTCCCAACAATCAAGTGATCAGAATCGACAGATGTCATAATTTAGAGATCAACAATACATACAAGAAATGCTGTATGCACCAACAATTTGAGGCCTTGAGTTTTTGACTAACTTCAATTTTTGTACATTCAATGACACGGAAACAGCTGCTAATTCATAAAAATTACTACACAGAAAAAACATTAGAACAAAATTACCAATAATAATAATAATAATAATAATAATTGCATTGCGGGGTTGTTGTGAAGATTGTTAAGTTTTATTTGTACCAATGAATCGATCAATGTTAGACCACCATTAGAAACCTGGAAGAAGCACTAGACGGCTGTTTCGTCCTGGTACGGGACTCATCAGCAGTGCGCACCCCGACTCCTGCACCCCGCAGGATTCGAACCCAGGACCTTCGGTATTGTGCGCACTGCTGATGAGTCACATACCAGGACGAAACGGCCGTCCAGTGCTTCTTGCAGGTTTCTAATGATGGTCTAATATTGATCGATTCATGGTTACAAATAATAATAATAATAATAAAATCTATAGACACACACATACCAATTTGTTTGTAAATTTACAATCCAACTACCAATCCAACAATTTAATGCCCAGAAAACATTTTTCTGATGAATATATTTATCATCTAAATGTAGTCGATAAGCAAAACAACCCATTCCAACACCTGGAATCTGTAATGTATAATAGACTGCGGAATCCCAATTCACTGGTAATTGAACACCTGAAACAATGTTAATAATAACTACTAAATTTGAACATTCTGAAATTTAATTCTCAATTGTCACAATTTAGTCGAGGCAATCGCTCGCATTATTACCATTGTTAATATCAATTCAACTACTTCCGCATTTGTCTTGATAACATGTAGTGTGCAACTTGAACCGGCGCACCCTCATTAGACCAAGTGTGGTGCGCGCTACTTATAAGTAGTATATGAAGCGAGTAAAAACGTAATGTCTGGCAGCAGAAGAATGGGGGAAGATCAAGAAAGGAAGAACGGGAACACCATGGGATTTGTATGAAACGCATGAACAGTGAAATGTCAGACAATAGATTGATGTTTTTGCAAAAGGAATAGTCCAGTTCGATAGGATGGATTGATATTCTGTAGATTAACGATTTACGATATGGTTTTCCTATTTTACTGAGTAACTCTGTAATTTGAGATAAATACAATTCGGTTGCCCTCACCTGTGTTCTCCTTCACTACACAAGTTGTATTTCTTTACAATGACATATACGAATGTGGAAAGAGAAGGTTAGAAGTTGAATTCGTTTCATAATCAACGATATGCAAACAGTAAATTGTATTGACTACTCCCAATAGTTTAGTCACAGGAGTTTACTCCTCAAGAACATTGAACGATAATGAGCGTAGGAAAAAGTGAATCCTTAGAAACAAGAAGCAACAATGCACTGTTGGATCTTAACCAGGGTTACACGCAGTGGTACTGTGCTCACAATGACTTGAATGTTTAGACAGTTCTACTGCGTTTATGGGTACTAAGTTTAAATTGGTTACGGAGCCCCGAAACTAGATACAAAACATCTATCGCCTAGCAGCGTTCTCTTTATTTTTGGAATAGCTTCTTGAAATAAATATTAATTGATGGTGAAAATAATGGTATCATTGAAATTATGCACTGATCAACGATGGACGGTCGTTTCGTCCTAGCATGAAACTCCTCGGCAGTGTGCATCTCTGAACCCTCCATGAAAGAGTCAAACCCAGGACACTTGGCTACGTGTGTGGACATTTAGACTTCAGAAGACTGAGCCAGCATCCGACAGTGCTAATTTCAAACTCTAACCAATACACAATATTGGTCAAACTTTTAGGATTGTCTTTGATGGATAACTGCCTTACATCTAATAAGGAATAAACTCCACTAGTGAAGGCTTTTCACTAGAACTCCAGGAATCACCTCTTAAAACTAGAGCCATCAGTGAGCAGATAATGAATATTAGTACAGGGTTGTGATCTAAATGAAGTCAGGCATTGACACCGTTGAATTTCGGCTCAATAGTCAGAAGTTTAAACGGTCGCGAACGAGACTGTGCCCTGGATTCGATGCACACATGTGTAAGGTCGAGCTGAGGAGTCCCAAACTCGAACGAAACGATCGTCCATGGCTTTCAGGCTTTAAATCATGGTATAACATTGATCGGTTCGTAATCCCAGCGAAACTCATCGATCACCGTAATCCTCTTTTGAAAGGAATAAATATTTATAGAGTACAATCTAAAATAAGACAGAAAATCAAAAATATTCAATGATTAAAAAATCATTCATTACCTGGTTCCAAAATCACTAAAATAGATCCTTCAGCGTATTGATCAATAGCAAAACGAATAAGTTCACCACGATTCGGTTTCGATATACCTGTTGTTAATGAATTATAATGATATAATTGCACATTGATCATACAACGAGGCTGTATCATATTGTGCAAATATTCTGTTATGACTGGATGAACAGTAGTAGAGGAATTCAACAATTTATCAGTTTGAGCAAATGTCGCTGGTGAACTGTCTATAATTATAATCTAAAAGTTTAAATGAATATACACTTGTCATATTGGCATACACGTAGGATGAGAATTGTGAAAAAAACGGAATTAAACAAACTTAAATTGTGTCGCTTCAAGCCTTCAAATTATCAGCTGTAAACATCGTCTTAAAGTAACAAATAATATGATTATCTGTAGCCATGAATCGATCAATGTTAAACCACCATTAGAAACCTGCAAGAAGCACTGGACGGCCGTTTCGTCCTGGTACGGGACCCATCAGCAGTGCGCATCCACGACTCCTGCACCCCACAGGATCCGAACCCAGGTATTGTGCGCGAACGCCCTAACCGTTAGACCACTGAGCCGGTATCTAACGGTGTTAATGTCTAACTTGATCGAATTCACGGAGTTGCACAACCTCATACACTGTATACATCCGAATAGGTTTGAACTTCACTGGCCACGACTTCCCACTAGAACTCGGAGAAGATTCCTCACCAAGCTTGTCACTAGTGGACACATGTAATTGCATTGCGGGGTTGTTGTGAAGATGATGATGAAGCTGATGAGTCCCATACCAGGACGAAACGGCCGTCCAGTGCTTCCAGGTTTCTAATGGTGGTCTAACATTGATCGATTCATGGTTACAAATAAAACTTAACAATCTTCACAACAACCCCGCAATGCAATACGATTATCAGTAAACAGGTTTCCAGACATAAATGGAATTTTGATTAACCAATCTAAGTTATTAGACAGTCAGTCATTTGGAAAGCAGGAAGCAACAGAAAAACTGCTTGGTCTTAGTAATGTACATCTAAGATCTCAACAGCACAGAGAGAATCGAACACACACGAGCTTCAATTTTGCGTATAAAAGCTTGAAAACTATAGAGCACTAAGCTGGAATATTATGATTTCTGTCAAGTATTAAGCAGCATGTTAGTTAAGAATGATGCTAACATTTTAGATGTATAAAATGAGGGAAATTATGTAACAGTTATTTAAAGTAAGTCAATCAGTCAGTTATGACGTGAAGCTTCATAAGTTCGGCTGTTAACCGAAAGGTTGGTGTTTCGAGCCCACCCGGAGGCGGCAGCCACTTCCCGACCGAAGCTGCTACCTTGACGTGGTGGTCGGGCTTGCCTATCGTGATGACCCAACCGAGCTATACTGGCTGGAACACATGTTCCTGTAGGTCCTACCATGCCAGGCAGGTCGATTGGAGAACGATGAGACTAAAAGCAGCTACCCAAGGACCGAGGTCGAAGTCGTGCTGCTGACTGTAGAGGGGTGTGACAGCAATAAGGTGTTTCCCTCGGACAACCAGCATCTGCAGCGATGCTGCCTTCTCACAAGGAAGAAAGGGTTAGAAAAGGTCGACCCTAAAAATATCACACCTCACCCTACCTCACGGATTTCTGTCTCCGGAGGTAAGGTTACCCACTAAGGGCCTTCAAGAGCGGAGCTAATCCTCAAAAATCCTTTAATAAAAAGGCCGTGCGTGACCGGCCTCAAGCTCTTGTCCCTTGGACTCTGCGGTCACGCTCCCAGGTCTCCGAGACCAACACTAATCTATCTTCCTTTTCAGGTTCCTCAAGAAACAACCTTCCATGGTGTGGGCAGCCGGGAAGTGAAAACCGCCCTCATACCCACAACAGCACACGAGACCAAATTGTTCAAAATCAAATCCTTCCTACATTCCCTAATACCTCTCTTATCTCCACGACTAACTCTTCTCACATTCATTTATCACAGTGCACAGCTAATGCAAACGATGCGAGTTCGCGAAACGTCGTCCCTGGTCTCCTTAAACCCCGCTCTAGACTACATGTTGGAGCTCCGAAAGATAGGGACACTCGTCGTTGCCTCTTCGTCATATCAGCCTACGCCCCCACTGACTGCAGCCCAAATGATGTAAAAGATGAGTTTTACAGTAAGCTTTCGGACCTTCTCCAAAAAGTTAAGCGCTCTGATATAGTTATAATGGCTGGTGACTTCAATGCACAAGTAGGTAGACTGAGTGAAAATGAAAGACACCTAGGTGGATGTTACGGTCTCGCGGCTCAAAGAACAGACAATGGCGACCGTCTGTTGCAACTGTGCTCAGATAACCAACTATTTCTAGTAAACACTAATTTTAAGCATAAGGAAAAACATCTTTTGACCTGACGACCCCCGAATTCGTCTCAACGTTGGACACAACTAGATCATATCGCCATCAGCCACAGATGGAGGGGTTCGATAGAGGACTGTCGCTCGTTCTGGGGCACATGTTTAGATTCAGATCATGCCCTAGTGCGAGCACGTATTTGTTTGAGGCTTGCTGGACGTAGGAAAGACACCGTAAGGAAGCCTCTTAGGGCTTTACTTGATGATAATCAAGCTAAGAAAATATTTCAGGAGGAACTAGAAAAACAGTTAGGCGGCCATGCAAGTGATTCCCATCCTGAAGCAGGTTGGAATGATATCAAGAAGGCTGTGGAAACAGCAGTGATATCTGCTAGCAAGGTAAACCACAAGGCTAGGATGAAGCCGTGGATTTCAGTCGCATCCACCGAACTGATGGATGCTCGAAAACGCATCCTACCTGACTCTGAACATGATGAAGAGCGTAGTCAGCTTAGGCGCAGACTTATAAAAAGCCTACGTAACGACCGTGAACAGTGGTGGGTGGCGAAAGCAAAAGCGATGGAAAAGACAGCGGCGATAGGCAACACTAGACAACTTTTCCGCCTTATCAAATAAACCGGTTTTAGGAACCCGAATGTGAGTGAGACTATCTCGGAAAAGGATGGTCTTATTATCCATTCTCAATCTAGGAGGCTGGACCGATGGGCAGAACACTTCATGGATCAGTCCAACTGGCCTCGAGCCACACTTCGGTTGCCTACGATCCCCAGTCATCCAGAATGGCAAATCGATTTAAGTCCTCCCAGTTTACATGAAGTTGAGAAAGCTATAGGAAATCTAAGGGGAGGTAGAGCGGCAGGTCCCGATAGGCTTAATACTGAGATGTTTAAGGATGGTGGTCCAGTTTTAACGGTTAGACTGACCGAGATACTAGGTAGAATCTGGGAACTGGACGTAATCCCATCTGACTGGTCTCAGTCGCAAATTGTCCAAATCTGTAAGAAAGGACAGAAGTCCTCTTGTGACAATCACAGGAGAATAAGTTTAACTAATATAGTTTCTAAATTGTTAGCCTCGATTATACTTAGACGTCTAACTAGAGCTCGTGAAGAGCAGACTAGAGAAAACCAGGCTGGTTTTCGACCTGGACGTGGTTGCATAGACCACATCTTCACACTACGACAGGTCCTGGAACACAGACACACATTTAGACACCCGACAATAGTCATGTTCCTGGACCTAAAAGCGGCATTTGACTCAGTGGATCGTGAGGTTCTGTGGCAGTGTCTGTCATTGAAAGGTGTACCAAAGAAGTACATTTACTTTATACAAGCACTCTACTCAAACACCACTGGTCGGGTGAGAGCATATGGCGAACTGTCATCTGAATTCTCTACATCAAGTGGTGTCCGTCAGGGATGTCCACTCTACCCATTCTTGTTTAACTTTGTCGTAGACATCCTCTTAGAGTTAACATTAAGCTCGTCAGATTTTTCAGGGGTTGGAAATTCGCTTACTGATCTAGAATATGCCGATGACATAGTTCTATTCGGTGAAGACGCTGACAAAATGCAGAGTCTTCTGACTACCATAAGCAACAAAGCAAGCATGTTCGGGATGCGGTTTTCCCCCTCGAAATGCAAAATGTTGTTTCAAGCTTGGGTTGCATTGGCACCTGAACTAGTGAAAGTTAGTGAAGTAGTCGAGCGTGTTGATCACTTCACTTATCTAGTGAGTCTCATTATTGCTGATGGCCTGGTGACTGACGAAATCTCAGCTCGGATACAGAAAGCTCGATTGGCTATTGCCAACCTGCGTCACTAATGGAGTGGGCGAGATATCCGTTTGCTCACTAAAGGACGAGTGTACTGAGCAGCAGTTCGCTCCGTTCTCCTATATGGTTGTGGAACATGGCCGGTAAGAATAGAAGATATTCGTAGGTTACTAGTATTTGATCAAAGATGTCTTAGAAGCATTGCTAGTATATCCTAGGACAACGGAGTAAGCAATGCTGTCGTTAGGAAGCTAGTACTAGTACAAGGTTCTATGTTGTTGTTGGCTGATTGTGTTAAGGTTGTCACTAGGTATGCTCGAAACTATTATGGGTTCACCTTAGTCGATAAACGAGGACGAGAACGAGACGATGAACCAGCGTCCAGGTGAGCTACCCTGATCCGATGACTAACCAAAATGTCTTGATATAGCGTAGAAAGTATATTCTACAGCCAGCAAGCACACAATGAATTCAAGCACACACAAACCTCGTTTATTTATACAACATAGAAACGTCCTTGGGACAGTCACAAAAATAGCACACTAAAATACACAGCAACCAATCACAGCCAAGGATCTATCTCAAGGTCAACCGATCAACCCATGCTCGGAAACATAAAATCCAAAATTAAGGCATTTATCAAGCGAGTTCTCGGAATCTAACGTCCCCAACAGACTGACTGAAGCAGCCAAAATTCAGATGAAAATTGAACTACAACACTGGTCAAAGCCAAACAGATCGTGGGAAAAGAAAGTCCCCTGCTGACGTCATGTTTGCAAGAAGTGTTGGTACCATTTTCAACTCAATGTTGTCACTTAAAACAGTTGTTGAGCACAGACGAAACCGGTATATACGAAGCCTCAACTTCGGTAATAAAATAGTCGTACCATAGTCATACCATAGAAAAATCGATGGAAATCCGAGATTATTGATAAACATTTGAGGAAAGTTTAGTACAAAGTGAATGGAACGCTTGGAATGTGAACGAAGACAAAAGTGAAATGAATACAGAAGATAGGGAATCTACAATACGAGATAATTATTGACACCCCAATGATGGGAAATTTCAATGACGCTATAAAGAACAAAAGAAGGTGTTGGAGAGCTCTGAAAACCCAGAAAATGTTTCATTTAATAGACATTGAACAGAACCTTCCCATGAACATTTGGAAAATGTACAATCCTGTGCCACAATTCTGATTGAATATTTAACCATATTTTTAGTATGGTTTCAGCACTTTCCAGGAGCTTAACATCATAAGTAACTCACTGCGATTCCTTAGCGGTGTTCATTCACTACTCCACATTGAGGAATCGAGCCAAAGACCTTCATTCTTGCGTGTGTGAAAAAGAATTACTGACAAAATGAACAGCTCACGAGTTGAAATACTGGTATGGTTCATAAGAGATGATTGAAATAAGAGAATGAAAAATATTGAGTGGTAATCCAAAAGCTAAATTTTTAAAGAATCTGTATGACTGGTACCGGTTTTAATCATTGCCAGATAAGGATCTTCAACTGTAGATAACGACGACAACTTCGTGAATCCCAATCATGAAGTATATATATTATGATATGATAGAAAATTTCACTTGATTAAGACCCGTTTTTAGTTGATAAACCCATTAATTAGACCATTACTTTCCCATTTGTCCAATGATGAATAATATTATGGTATGTCGTACAAAGGTGGTTGCTGATTATACATAACAGAAGCCCTAAATTACATTTAATCACTCCGAAATGTAAACATTAAATCATTTAAGGATGAAAATTATCCCGATAGAAGTAAACATCTATGAAAAATATATCTTGTTGAAGTATATATGTTAGTGGGACATAGATGGAATTAAAGCATGACTACGTTGCTACGCGCTGATTGGCTAATTTCCTATCCAATCAGCGCCTGATCGAAGCTTGGAGAACAGCATAGAAAATTCTCGTATTATTAGCTGCATGCTGATTGGTTAAATCTAATCCAGTCGATCACGTGAATTTTCTTCCAGAAGCTTTCTCATGTAAAGGCTATAAATAGACTAGCGTTGTATCTACTTTTGCCTTCTATGCCTTGGCCTTCGCCATCACCTCTGGCTTCTTATTCCTTACTATTTTGGAATATAATCTTTTCCTGTTCAACCGTGTGTTTTAATTCTTGGGAACTTGTCCAGTGTATTGTGTGGTCAGAGAGAATACTAAGCAATAGGATTTAGCCGGGAATATATCTAAGCAAGCGTTACAATAATATAAGATAATAATAATAATGATAAGAGTAATTTCTTATTCAATGCTAACCTCTATTTGTCTTTTACCCGAAGCATTATGTACTGCTAATTCAATTGTATAAGCTAATGATTTTGACAATTTCACATTGATTAATTCCACATTATCCGGATCAATACAATCATTCGGATGACCATAACCCATTGGGATAATTACAGTGATTAAATCATTCAGTACGTGGTCATATAATAATCCAGTAGACTGTTGTACATTGATAAGATCCAATGGTTCGGATACCTTAGAAATATATATATAACAATAATCATTAACCAACAAAAATAAATCAGTTAACTATTATTAAACAGATCATATGTAAAATGTATTGTACAGGATGATGTATGGAGTAATATACTTACACGTCAAACTAGAGCTCGTGAAGAGCAGACTAGAGAAAACCAGGCTGGTTTTCGACCTGGACGTGGTTGTATAGACCACATCTTCACACTACGACAGGTCCTGGAACACAGACACACATTTAGACACCCGACAATAGTCGTGTTCCTGGACCTAAAAGCGGCATTCGACTTAGTGGATCGTGCGGTTCTGTAGCAGTGTCTGTCATTGAAAGGTGTACCAAAGAAGTACATTTACTTTATACAAGCTCTCTACTCGAACACTACAGGTCGAGTGAGAGCTTATGGCGAACTGTCATCTGAATTCTCTACATTAAGTGGTGTCCGTCAGGGATGTCCACTCTACCCATTCTTGTTTAACTTCGTCGTAGACATCCTCTTAGAGTTAACATTAAGCTCGTCAGATTTTTCAGGGGTTGACCTTCTACCTGGAAATTCGCTTACTGATCTAGAATATGCCGATGACATAGTTATATTTAGTGAAGACGCTGACAAAATGCAGAGTCTTCTGACTACCATAAGCAACAATGCGAGCATGGTCGGGATGAGGTTCTCACCCTCGAAATGCAAAATGTTGCCTCAAGAGTGGGTTGCAACGGCACCTGAACTAGCGGTACGGAGTGAAGTAGTCGAGCGTGTTGATCGCTTCACTTATCTGGGGAGTCTCATCAGTGCCGATGGCCTGGTGACTGACGAAATCTCAGCTCGGATAAAGAAGGCTCGATTGGCTTTTGCCAACCTGCGTCACTTATGACGTAGGCGTGATATCCGTTCGCTAACCAAAGGACGGGTGTACTGCGCAGCAGTTCGTCCCGTTCACTTATATGGCTGTGAAACATGGCCGTTAAGAGTAGATGTTCGTAGGCTACTAGTATTCGATCATAGACGTTTAAGAAGCATTGCTCGTATATCCGTGGGACAACGGAGTAAGCAATGCTGTCGTTAGGAAGCTAGTACTAGGTAAGGATGGCAGATCAGTAGATGAAGTGGTGAAACTTCATCAGTTGAGGTGGTTGGGACATGCGTTACGTATGGCTAACCACCGACTGCCTCGACGAGCTATGTTTTGTGGTGTAGGAGTAGGTTGGAAGAAAGCTAGGGGCGGCCAAACCAAAACATGGAAGAAATCCATGAAGTCACTGACTAGTGGACTGAGCCATGTCGGTAATTGTCGACTACCTGGATGGGGTCCGCGAGACGAAATTCACCAATGGTTAGAGATCTTGAACGACATGGCTCAAAATCGTTTGCAATGGCGCAAGTGCATCCATTCTTTGAGCTCTCTCAAATTCTAATCTTCTGGATTCGTCAACACCTCTACCTTTGTCTTTCTAACCTTGTTTCACTTAATTATACTCCTTGAATAATATCTTCAAACCCTAGTCTTCTTTATTACCATTAATACCTCTACTATCTTTATCACTATGGGATTTGATTTGACATCTGCGTCTTTGTGCTAATGTGGTATGGCAACATGAACTTATGCACATACGTACGTAGTTCTACGTTGCAACTGACTGTATGACTGACTGATGGAATAATATCAGCGAGGCAAATTCAAATAATTCTAATGTTTTATGCAATATTCTTGCCTTGACTTTATCAAGGTGATGGTCAAAATGATAAACTATCAAAAAAATTTGTATAACGTCGGGCGATTTCTGGAGATTGTTGAATTTCCACAGTTTAAATCAGTAATTGATCAAACCTAGATCATCATTAAAAAAAATGAGAGGACCGCACGGTAGCATGAGACTCCTCAACGGTGCGCATCTATGACCTAACGAAGGGATCTAAGTCACGGTCTCCGATCTTACACACAAACGCTTAATCTATAGACCAATAAACTTGATTCTAATCGTGTAAATTTCTACCAACTTGAATCAATTTACAATACTAAAGCGACCATCTTTGACAGCCTTATGTAAATAACTGGCTCACACTCGACACATTAGACTCCACCGATCATGGCCTCTCACTAGAACTTCAGCAGTTGTTTATTGAAGCTAGTGACCGGAAAGAATTTTAGCCGACACCGGTCTTCACTTCAACTGAGTCTGTTAGTTGTCCTCCATGAATGAGTTTGCAGTGTAATTCACCATAAGAATTCCGCACCATGTTGACTATCATCTCAGGCACGCTATCAAATGCTTTCTCGTAGTCAATGAAGTTGATGTAGAGCGGCGAATCCCATTCAAATGATTGTTCCCCAATGATCCGTAATGTTGCAATTTGGTCGGTACACGATCGACTCGTATGAAATCCAGTCTGTTTATCTCCAAGTTGGGCATCTACAAAGTCCTTCATTCTGTTTGACAACACCCTGTTCAAGACTTTGTCAGGTATTGAGAGAAGCGTGAGGCCTCTGTAGTTCTCACACTTGTTGAGATCGCCGTTCTTCGGTGTTTCAATGAGGTGTCCTTCTTTCCAGTCTGATGGTACTTGTTTTTCATCCCAAATCTCTTTGAGAGAATGTGAAATATTTTTGTAGTTGCCTCCACGCCTGCATTCATCGCTTCTGCTGGAATGTTGTCTAGTTCGGCTACTTTGCCACTCTTGATTTGTCTTACGACCATGCTGATCTCTTCAATTGTTGGTCGGCCAACATCGATTGGGAGGTCCTTAGATGCTGGTTCGATGTTGGGTGGGTTCAGTGGAGTTGGTCGATCCAGATGTTCCTTGAAGTGCTCTACTCACATGTTTCGCTGTTCTTCAATGTTGCCCGCTCGATGGGTTGAGGATATGAGGTTGACTTCAATAATCCCCAAAGTTATACATCATAATTCATTATATTGATTGCACAGATTACGGGTTCACTCCTTACAAAACACCAGATCCATCGCAATCCACAGTCAAAAGCACAAACTTACTACGTAAAAGAAATTTGATCGAACTCATTTCTCTCCCTTCCTTATCGACATAACTCATACAGGAGAAAGTCCACATTCAAAAACAGTTTCTTCAACATTTCACCAATCTTAAGACCACATATCTGAATTCCTTATTACATAACTTTCCTTATCAATAGATCTCCTGTCAACAGTTTCATCAAATCTCACTTTCTTACACACGTTCACCTTTTACCACTAATGGAACATAGGACGACGACAAGCATTTTTCAACCTACTCTGTCTTACACCCTCCTTTCCAGTTCTACCTAATTGTTATTCATTCATTTCATGTCTGTCTCCATTTCTCGGTGCGGTCTTGCCTCGTGATGTAGTTTGGTAATTTTGATAATGTATGTCCTATCCACCTAAAAAGCTTTTCCTAATTTCTTCCTCAACTGGAATGGGATTTGTTTTGTCCCACAGTAGGTTGGTGTTAGACCAACGGATCCGAGGTATATTGCCTAGACAACTCTTAATAAACACTTGTATCTCTTCGACGATGGCTCTAACCTTCTGCTGCATTCAATAGAATTGTCTTAACGTTCGTATTGAAAATTATGAATCCGGTGTTGGTTAATAGTTATTTCGAGTTCCAGAAGTTGTTCAATTGTAGAAATACTGCCCTTGCTTTACTACTCCTTGTTTATCAATGATGCTGCCCATGTATGCAAAGGCTTCTACATCTCCCAAAGCTTCTCTGTCAAGTGTGATTAGGGTTGGTGCCTGCTGCGTGGTACCTAAGAATCCTGCTCTAACTTACCACTACTACCAGTAACCTCCAAACGCCTTGATAAAGCCGAGAGTCCAATCTCCTTCTCGAAATGCTCTCATATTGTAGTGAACGAGAACACAGGTGAGGGCAACCGGATTGTATTTAACGAAAATCACTGAGTTACTCAGTAAAATTGGAAAACCATATCGTAAATTGTTCATTTGCAAAATATCAATCCATCATATCGAACTGGACTGTTCCTGTTGCAAAAACCAATCCATTGTCTCACATTTCACTATTCATGCGTTTCATACAAATTCCATTGTGTTCCCACTCTTCCTCCTTTCTTGATCTTACCCCATCTTCTGCTGCCAGACATAACGTTGACACTCACGTCATATACTACTTATAAGTAGCTCACACCACAATATGACCACGGGTACATAGACACTGATTAGAGGATTTTTCCTATAATATAAAAATAATTTTCCATTGCATAAATCTATATGATACTGAACCATGATTATACGTATGGAATAAAATAATCACAGTAAAAATAACAAATTATTTCTCTTACCTCTTCTAATCTTTCACGTAAACAAACTAAATTTGCATTCGATAAAGATTGATAAATATTTCTGCATAGAATATCGGCTGCATTTATAGATGACCATTCCAAATTAGAACAAAGCGATTTGATGCTAGACATTGAATGAATCTGTTTACCTTTTAAACCAAATAAATATAAACCATTTGATAATTTCCTTTGACGTATATTAACATCAACATCAATCCGTGAAATTCTTGTACAAGGTTTAGTTATACCTAAGACAAAGTCAGCCTGTACAAAAAAAAACGTAAAAATTATATGGTTATGGTACTATAGAAACAGGACTGGAATCAAATAATTCACCAAGTGCTTGGTTTTAGCTGTACTCTAAGGGCGGGGGGCTAATGGCATCACACACACACTACTACTACTACTACTACTACTACTACTACTACTACTACTACTACTACTACTACTACTACTACTACTACTACTACTACTACTACTACTACTACTACTACTACTACTACTACTACTACTACTACTACTACTACTACTACTACTACTACTACTACTACTACTACTACTACTACTACTACTACTACTACTACTACTACTACTACTACTACTACTACTACTACTACTACTACTACTACTACTACTACTACTACTACTACTACTACTACTACTACTACTACTACTACTACTACTACTACTACTACTACTACTACTACTACTACTACTACTACTACTACTACTACTACTACTACTACTACTACTACTACTACTACTACTACTACTACTACTACTACTACTACTACTACTACTACTACTACTACTACTACTACTACTACTACTACTACTACTACTACTACTACTACTACTACTACTACTACTACTACTACTACTACTACTACTACTACTACTACTACTACTACTACTACTACTACTACTACTACTACTACTACTACTACTACTACTACTACTACTACTACTACTACTACTACTACTACTACTACTACTACTACTACTACTACTACTACTACTACTACTACTACTACTACTACTACTACTACTACTACTACTACTACTACTACTACTACTACTACTACTACTACTACTACTACTACTACTACTACTACTACTACTACTACTACTACTACTACTACTACTACTACTACTACTACTACTACTACTACTACTACTACTACTACTACTACTACTACTACTACTACTACTACTACTACTACTACTACTACTACTACTACTACTACTACTACTACTACTACTACTACTACTACTACTACTACTACTACTACTACTACTACTACTACTACTACTACTACTACTACTACTACTACTACTACTACTACTACTACTACTACTACTACTACTACTACTACTACTACTACTACTACTACTACTACTACTACTACTACTACTACTACTACTACTACTACTACTACTACTACTACTACTACTACTACTACTACTACTACTACTACTACTACTACTACTACTACTACTACTACTACTACTACTACTACTACTACTACTACTACTACTACTACTACTACTACTACTACTACTACTACTACTACTACTACTACTACTACTACTACTACTACTACTACTACTACTACTACTACTACTACTACTACTACTACTACTACTACTACTACTACTACTACTACTACTACTACTACTACTACTACTACTACTACTACTACTACTACTACTACTACTACTACTACTACTACTACTACTACTACTACTACTACTACTACTACTACTACTACTACTACTACTACTACTACTACTACTACTACTACTACTACTACTACTACTACTACTACTACTACTACTACTACTACTACTACTACTACTACTACTACTACTACTACTACTACTACTACTACTACTACTACTACTACTACTACTACTACTACTACTACTACTACTACTACTACTACTACTACTACTACTACTACTACTACTACTACTACTACTACTACTACTACTACTACTACTACTACTACTACTACTACTACTACTACTACTACTACTACTACTACTACTACTACTACTACTACTACTACTACTACTACTACTACTACTACTACTACTACTACTACTACTACTACTACTACTACTACTACTACTACTACTACTACTACTACTACTACTACTACTACTACTACTACTACTACTACTACTACTACTACTACTACTACTACTACTACTACTACTACTACTACTACTACTACTACTACTACTACTACTACTACTACTACTACTACTACTACTACTACTACTACTACTACTACTACTACTACTACTACTACTACTACTACTACTACTACTACTACTACTACTACTACTACTACTACTACTACTACTACTACTACTACTACTACTACTACTACTACTACTACTACTACTACTACTACTACTACTACTACTACTACTACTACTACTACTACTACTACTACTACTACTACTACTACTACTACTACTACTACTACTACTACTACTACTACTACTACTACTACTACTACTACTACTACTACTACTACTACTACTACTACTACTACTACTACTACTACTACTACTACTACTACTACTACTACTACTACTACTACTACTACTACTACTACTACTACTACTACTACTACTACTACTACTACTACTACTACTACTACTACTACTACTACTACTACTACTACTACTACTACTACTACTACTACTACTACTACTACTACTACTACTACTACTACTACTACTACTACTACTACTACTACTACTACTACTACTACTACTACTACTACTACTACTACTACTACTACTACTACTACTACTACTACTACTACTACTACTACTACTACTACTACTACTACTACTACTACTACTACTACTACTACTACTACTACTACTACTACTACTACTACTACTACTACTACTACTACTACTACTACTACTACTACTACTACTACTACTACTACTACTACTACTACTACTACTACTACTACTACTACTACTACTACTACTACTACTACTACTACTACTACTACTACTACTACTACTACTACTACTACTACTACTACTACTACTACTACTACTACTACTACTACTACTACTACTACTACTACTACTACTACTACTACTACTACTACTACTACTACTACTACTACTACTACTACTACTACTACTACTACTACTACTACTACTACTACTACTACTACTACTACTACTACTACTACTACTACTACTACTACTACTACTACTACTACTACTACTACTACTACTACTACTACTACTACTACTACTACTACTACTACTACTACTACTACTACTACTACTACTACTACTACTACTACTACTACTACTACTACTACTACTACTACTACTACTACTACTACTACTACTACTACTACTACTACTACTACTACTACTACTACTACTACTACTACTAATGAATGAATGATTGAACCAATCAGTATCAACGTAGAACTTTGTACGTACGTACATCAGTTCACGTTACCATACCACATTAGCACAGAGATGTAATTGTCAATTCAAATCCAATAGTAGTAGAGATAGTTAAGGTATTATCAGTCGTCAGAGAGGTCAGGTTTAGAAGATATTATTCAAGAAGTATGATTCAGTGAGAAAAGTTTAGAAAGTCAAAAGTAGAGGGGTTGAAGAATCCAGAAAATTAGGATTTGAGAGAACACAAAGAATAAATGCATCGGCGCTATTGCGAACGGTTTTGAGCCATGTCATTCAAGGTCTCTAACCATTCATGACTGATATCTCGCAGAACCCAACTAGGTAGTCGACTCCTACCGACATGACCTAATCCACTTGTCAGTGACTTCATAGATTTTTGTCATATTTTGGTTTTGCCGTCCGTAGTTTTCTTACAACCTATTCCTATATCGCAGAACATAGCTCGACGAGGCAGTCGGTGGTTAGGCATACGTACACATGTCCCAACCGCCTTAACTGATGAAGTTTCATTACTTCATCTATTGACCTGCCATCCTTACCTAGTCTCCGAAGCATTGCTCGTACATTCTAGAACAGCAGAATAAGTACTCATGCCTTCCGAACGAACTGGGTTACACACAAACGCCTAATCTAGAGACCAATAAACCTGATTCAGCAGCAGCTGTTGCTACAGTTGACGTTTGACCCCTGCATTTGTTGTTGTGTGTGCAGTTGAAGAGTCAGATCATCTGCAAGATCCAGGTCATCCAGCTGCATCCTGGCTTCCACTGTATCTCTTGTTACCCGTCTGATTTTGAACTCTTCATAATCCAGTCGATCACTAGGGGAAAGAGGAAGGATGAAAACATATACACATTCCCAATCTGATCCTAAGTTTTAGACGTCGAGTTTGGCAGAACTAATATACTCAAATCAGATTTTCCTATCAGGAACTAAGGATGTGGTGCCAAGTTTATTGTAATTCAGTTTATTACTGAACACGTCATATACTACAATAAGTAGCTCACACCACTAGTAGTAGTAGTAGTAGTAGTAGCAGTAGTAGTAGTAGTAGTAGTAGTAGTAGTAGTAGCAGTAGTAGTAGTAGTAGTAGTAGTAGTAGTAGTAGTAGCAGTAGTAGTAGTAGTAGTAGCAGTAGTAGTAGTAGTAGGTGTGTAGGGATGAGGCAGGCTAATAAGAATCAATCACAATGGTACAGGTACAACATTCACTTTTTATCTTTCCTTAGATCTCCTGATTTTCATAAATAATTTAATACTTTTTATTTTACGAATTCATTTATTTTTTCTAAAATCATACTGTATATGATACTAATTTTTTTATTTATATAGACAGACAGATGCAACGTAGAACTTCGTACGTAAGTACATCAGTTCATGTTGCCATACCACATCAGCACAGTGATGTAATTGTCAATTCAAATCCAATAGTAGAAGAGGTAGTAAAGGTATTAGAAGTAATCGGAGAGGTTAGGATGAGAAGATATTATTCAAGAAGTATGATTCAGTGGGAAAAGTTTACAAAGTTGAAGAATCCAGAAGATTAGGATTTGAGAGAACACAAAGAATAAATGCACCGGCGCCATTGCGAACGGTTTTGAGCCATGTCATTCAAGGTCTCTAACCATCGATTATTATCATCTCGCAGACCCCGACCAGGTAGTCGACAATTACCGACATGGCTAAGTCCACTCGTCAATGATTTCATGGATTTCTGCGATGTTTTGGTTTGGCCGCCCCTAACTTTCTTCCAACCTACTCCCCTACACTACAAAACAAAGC